AAAAACATATAATTCACATCTCAGTGTATACCTTCCAATTTCGTATATATATTTTTTAATAAATAAATGATAAAATTAATTTAATATAATTGAGCGAAATTACTGTATGTAAAAAATAACAACATGAATTCAAATCACTCACTAAATAGTAGAAAAAGATATATATTTTGTTGGTAACACCTTCTAGATGAAAAAGCTTTTAACGTATTTCTATTTTTATTGTAATAAAAATAAATGCTCCTGTAGGAAAAAATTAAATATATTGTTCTCTTCTAGCATTTTTTAACATTTCTATTTCTTTTCGTTTCTTTTCTTAGATTTTTTCAAAAGAGACTGATTTATATTTTGAAAGTAAATCCAGAGAGGTATGGGTTAAGCCTTTACCTGTACTTACATAAAATTTCTTTTAGTAAAATTAAAAAATAATCCGTAAAATTGGTGTACTATGAAACCCTTGCATATAATATATATGCCAATCTTAGTATTACAGAAATAAATTACGTAAAAAATAAGGTGTACAAATACGAAAAATGTATTCATCCCTCGTAAAACATCAGTAAAATATATTATAAATTGTTTTCATTCACAAATATTAATTTCTTAAAAATCTAACAGAGGCGCCACTTTCCAGACGAAAAATCTTGCAATGTAAGGGTTTCGTAGTACCCCACTTTTAAAGTTTATTTTTGACTATTTTTAAAATAAAAAAATATGTGTGTGTAGGTAAAGGTTAAATCTATGCTCCTCTGGAACCACTTTTTCAAAATTCAATTTAGTTCTTTCTAAAAAAAATGAGAAAATGGGTAAAAAAGGTCGACTTTTGTATTTTTCTTTTAGAAAAAACTGTTTCAAATTTTAAAAAAGTGTTTCCAGAGGAGCATATACTTATCCTTTACCTACACGTACATTTTTTTTCTTTCAGAATAAGTCAAAAATAAACTTTGAAAGTGGGGTACTACGAAACCCTTGCATGCTCCGCTCTACAGCCAAGTAAATACTCCTCTTAATTTGTATCTATTCGAAATTTGTTATTTTAGGTTCAATTAAGCTCCAATATAAGCAGCTAAATGAAACTCAACATATCGATGCAATAAAATGTTGTTTGATTAAGGTAAAAGAAAGAATTTGTTATAAATATAGGAATAAGTATGAATTTTTGGAAATATAAATTTAAAAAATTTGCAAGATTTTTATAATATATACCCTTAATTCTTTAATGATCAATACTATTGAAACATTCTGTGTTAGGCTGTCTAGTATATGCCTAGTATATGCTTAACCTAAATACTTAGTATATACTTAGAACGTACTACCAAATGAAAGTAGATGTTTATTGAATATTGTATACATATTGTTGCATATCACGTATAGACAAGGTCCTGTAACATATACTTAGTATAATCTAAGAATGTTCTAAATGCAAATAAAGTATATTTTTAGCATATACATATTCCTAAAAAGTATATACTAATAATTGTAATACCGTGTATCTTGAACATAAAGGATCAGCGGATCCATATTGATTGGAACTTATTTTTGGGATTGGAATTATCCCACAAGCAATGGAACATATTTTTTGAAGCACCCTGTATATAGACTATTTATCTCGTCACCCTGTTTAATTACTATAGTGCAGATTTTTTTTCTTAACTTATTTCTAACTTTACGGTATTTACAAATTCTGATAGTTTTGTTTTTTATTTATTATTCTTCAGTTTTGACCTCAAACAACCTTTAAATGTTACCCTTCCTTTTTGATCAATCATTTATTTGTGTGGCTTTTATAAAAAGCCATATTTTTATAAAAGTAATGAACGCCCTTCAATAACAATCGCTCATCAATTCATTTCGACTTTCCACTTTTTTGTGCTATATATAGCTATATAAATATTAATTGATCATGCATGGGATTGATTTATAATGTCTATTTTTTTATTCAAACGCATATTTATGTAACCAAAAATAGATTTTTGATAACCACTAACTGTAGGTTCTTTTCTATAAAAAATGTTCCAAAAATAGTCTCATTTCTCACATAATAAATGGTAACCAAATACTTAAAAAGTGTGCCCAAGAAAGACAAACTTGGAAAGATATTCATCATTCGGAGAGTAGGGTGAAGTAAGGTAATTTCGTGACATAGGTAAGTTCGTGATAGAATTATAAAAATTTAACAGCAAGTTGCCTATTGCTTTAGATGAATGAATCCTTGGCTAGTGGAAGGTGTATGATGCTACTAGATGGCGCAACCTGTCGCGTTTGGATATCACGAACATACCAGTCATTAGAAAACTTTGTTTACATGTGGTGCGTATTACGTCGTAATTTTTCGCGGGTTTTGCAACTAGAAAGAGATCTGCTGTTTCAAAAGGAATTACCGAAAGGTAGGCTTATGAAATTTATACCAATTATAGTATCTGAAATGGGGAATCTTCCTGTCAAATGCGATTTACAAATTTTGGCTTGGTTTTACCGTAATTGCTTATTCCGTGGAGCTAATTTCTTACGTTTTTTATATGTGCTGAAGATGTTAAGCTAGGGTTGTTGAATTTTAAATATCTTTTTTCGCACGCAGTAAAATTATCCCATATTCTAAGAATGTTTTATTTTTATGATTTACTACGAACCTTATGTAAAAAAAACGTTATTGAAAATATCACGAACTTACCTATTATCACGAATTTACCTACTGTTTTTAATTTCAGCTTTAAATAAAGAAAATATCACAGTTATGAAATATCTGATTTAATAGAAGCTGTTACGTTAGTAAGGGAAACAAACTTGACAATCTATAGAGCAAGCAAAGAGACTGGGATACCATGGAGTACGCTGAAAGATTTTTTGTCAAAAAACCAAGACAACCAGCAACAAGTTGCAAAACTAGGAAGGTCACATGCACTGACGCCAGAAATTGAAACGAAACTATTCAATTATATTGTCAAGATGTAGGAACTAGGTTTTGGCCTAACAGTTGAAATGGTAAGAAAAACAGCTTTCGAATTGGCAAAAGAAACAAAATGGTGGTGGTCACAATTCAAGAAGAGGTACAATCTTGCTTTACGCGATCCAGAAAATCTTGCAGCTTATCGCGCCTCTATGGGTAATCCAGAGATAATACAGGACTACTTCGTAAAACTAGAAGCACTTCATGGAGAAGCTAAACATAAAGAACATGCCGAGTAGAATATGGAATTGCGACGAAATGGGTCTATCTTATGTCGTTAAGCCCAGTAAGGTTGTTAAGTCTATTGAAAAACGATACATTTACAAGAGAACATATGCTGATAGGGATAAGTCACATACACATCTTGGTTGTATCTGTGCTGACGGGACATGGATTCCCCCCCTAATTATTTTTAAAGGAATTCGCTGGAATGATAATTTAAAATCAGACTATCTTCCTGGTACACTAGTTAAACTGACTCCTAAGGGTTGGATCAACACTGATTTATTTCTGGAATGGTTCCAATTCTTTATTAAATCAATTCCTCCAGCTCGTCCTGTCATCCTTTTGATGGATTTTCATGACTCTCATATAAATGCCACAGTAATTTCTCTAGCTAAAGAGAATGACATTTATTTATTCACTTTTCCGGCGCACACATCTCATTTGCTTCAACTCCTAGATGTGGGCGTGTATAAATCTCTTAAGGCCAATTGGTCTAAGAGTTTAAACCATTTTATGAGAGAACATCCTACAGAAAAACCCAACAGGCAAAATTTTCACTCTCTATTAAATCCAGCATTTATCGCAAGTTTTTGTCGTTCCAATATCACAAATGCTTTTCGATAAACTGGGGCGTGTCCATTTGACAAAGACGCTATTCCCTAAGAGGCTGTTTCTCCGTCTCTACTGACCAACAGAGCAGCTCCTCAAAGACGAGTTGTTGCAGATGAAACTGAGCCAGCCACTGAAACTGATCAGAAGCAGTTATTGTCTCTACCAGCTGCACCCAGTGCATCCGATGTTCCTGCCAAAGCAAACCAAAGGAAACGGGATTTGAAATCTAAATGTCTCAATGATTTTGATGATGTTTCCTCACTAAACGAACCTTCTACGTCAGGTACTAATAGCTCTAAAGTCAAGGTAAAATCTGCAATGAACGTCAAGACTCAGAAGTCGTCCACATCCAAAGAAAGTTCCCCAACAGCAGAATGACAATGAGGATGACTGGAGCTGTGGTGTTTGTGAAGAAAGTTACTTGGAAGATTGTAAGACGAAAAATGGAGCACGGTGGATACAGTGTTCCTACTGTTTAGTACCATATCACCTTAAATGTCAAGCATCCGAGGAAGATATTGTTTTTGTGCGATAGTTGCGCTGGTACTAGCAGCGACGACTCAGATTAAAATTTTACATTGTAACTTGTAACTGATAATAAAACCGTATCTTACAATTTTTAGCACTAACTGTTGTCTCACGAATATACCTACCCCATACCACGAAATAAAATATCCTATCACGAAATTACCTTTCCTTGACCATGTTATTTTAAAACTTTTTTTTAGAGAGTTTCTTAGTTTTTTAATAAAAAAATACCAAAATATAAAGCCAAACTGTAAGGTCTTAGCTCCCTCACAATTATAGCAAAAACGCATGCCATTTTCATTACTTTCAAACGACAAAACTATAATAATCACGAACATACCTTACTTCACGCTATATCTTAGAAATTACAGGTGAACAAAGCTTTGATTGAACAATAGCGTAAAAATAATCTGGTGAAACAACCACTTAGAACGTCTTAGAGGCTATTCAATGAAGCCAAATCAACTGAAGACTGGGCCCTAATTTGTATTAGTTTCTCTGAAATAGCAGAAGAGTTTAATAATTTATCTGTAAATTTCTATAACTGTAACTAATAGTCCGAGTCCCAACCATGTGATCATCTGTTTTTAATCAAATAACGCTTTTTAATTTAACGGCCTTTGAAGTATTTAACCATATTTAACCATTAGATTTAAAAAAAGGTAAAAAGGTAAAGATTAAATATACTTACAAAAGTGTTTCTCCCTTCGCGGCATAACGCAGCAACGGTAGAGGAAAAAGGCGCACAGCAAGCAGACAACCAAAGCCGCCCCGCAGAAGACGGCCGCAAGAAGTGGTAAACGTTCGGAAGAGATCTTCCAGCCCCTCGTTGAGGCTGTGGTAGGCTCGGGCCACATACTCGCCGTCAACGTCACCCACTGCTGTTGCAGCACCACACCACCACCGACATCGACTTCGTAGATTTGCCCTTCATCGCCTGAAACAAATTTGAATTGTCACTGAACTGACGAAGAAAGATCTATTTTGTAATGTGGCCAAATTACTCAAAAAGAATAATAACAAATAATCGCATGTGTAAAAAATATTTGGAAACATTAGAATTTAACTACGAGCTCTATTATGGAATTCGTTAATGCTCGTACAAAACTCATCGTTATTTTACTGTATTCGATGGTTTTTGAGAAAACTGATGTAAATAAAAAATACAAGGTTAAAATATCGTCAATTTTAGTCATTGAGTTTTTAATCGTCGATATCAATATTGCCTAATTTTAATGGCTTTAGGAAATTATTATACAACAGTTATTTGAGGAAATATCCTACTTTATATTCTTAGCTGATTTAAAAAGAAAATTTTACGATTTTCCGCAATTGTATCATTTTTCTCTGGTGCCTCAATATTTTACTAATTCCGAAAAATTATTACCAATTTCTTTTGATGAATTTTCCCAAAAATTTAAAATTTCAACAGTATGATCTCGAACATCCCTTAACATTAACAAAACTATGTTAAACTGTGTTAAAATTTATAATTTGTTTTTTCAACATTACATTGTCTTATTTTTAATATAATTTCATAAAAGCCGTATAAAAAGTATAGTATATAACTCCTATGGAATGCGCATTCTAAAGTACGAATTAAGAATAGAATAGATAGCAACATGTTATAGCCGTAGAAAAAGTATAGTGTTCAACTTGCAAGGAATACTCATTTATTACTCGTATAATTTGTTAGACTCGCAGTAAATGAGTATTTATTACATATGCAGCAAAAGTGACACTAATTAATAACTCTCAATGTTAAACAAAGTGTACAAGGTTTTTCATTATATTTTGACCACTACTTCATTATTTTCAAGTTTCAAGTAAAAGCTTTGTGGTTTTACCTCAACTTTTCCGGCCACAGTATAACCTATTGCAACCAATCAATTGACAACTTTTAATGAACAAACAACTGTTTCAATTGGAAACATCATTTTCATAGCCACCTATGTTATGCTTTCATAGTGCAATAAGTCATTTAATAATTAAAATATCGTTAAAGAATGGGCCATACTTCAGATGTGGTTAGTTTAGACAAAAATAAGTTTTTTTAATTAAGCCAATTTACCTTAGTAGAATTATGCTTGCTTAAGCTGTTACAGGGTGGAGAAAATATAAGTTTGTTTGGGTGATACAAACGAATACCAGCTTTTTTGTTGCATTACATGTACAGGGCGTTCTAAACTGGCGTGCCAATCTAGTATTTACTTTAGATTTTTTTAAGGTTGGACATGTGGTGCTCGCGTCTCGTTTGGCAAGCACACAAAGAACTTCCAAATGATTTTTATGACATTTCAGTTGTTCTTTCATGTTTGACGTTTTGTGTCATTATTTTTATTTTTTGGTTATATGTAATGTTTTTAGAGGGAAAACTATCTGGTCTCTTCTTTTTCAATAACGCCACTGTTATTGATTAAGCTATGCTTTTCTTTTTGTAAATCTTTACAGGATTATCCGAAGATCCAAGTAGGCAGAAGATTGGGAGCAATATATAAAGGACCGCCGTTGCTATGCTGGCCAGAGAGACCAAGATAAACAACCAAGATTTTCCACGTCAAATCATCCACTCATCAAACAACACTCCATGCACTATATTTATTATTGTTTTTTTTATATATTCGGGAATAAACCTTTTCAAAATTAATTTCGTTTCCAGTTATTCGAAGAATTTAGTGTTTCACCAAACAGGGGACCACTAAATATTGGTGACCCCGACAGAACATTCCCTAGCACAGAAAATTCCCAAAGAAAAACTCAGAAGTAGAAAACTCCCCAAGCAGAAACCACGTCCTCAGCTGCGTGTCGGTTCAGCATAGCAGCGTCGAGAAAGAAAGAAAGAAGTTCAACGGATAATCAAGTGAAGTTTTTCAAAAGGAATCGGATAGGTGAGCCATTTGATTGCCCTTTTTAAGAACATTGCATTTGATCACTTTTTCTTTTTCGTTCATTGCCTAAATTTTTATTTTTATAATGTCAGAACCAAATACCTCCACAGCTGAGGGAATGTTCTGTCTGCGAATGTTCTGTTGGAGTCACCAATGGACATTTTTGAAAAATAATTATTTTAAAAAAGCGTTCAATTTGGTTTAGAAAAGGTATACTTGTTGCATGTCGCTAAAATGCATCATTTGAAGGAAAACTTAATGTATAGTTAGTTCTGCAAATGTATGGATTACTCCAAAATTTCTTAATTTGATAATGTTAAATCTATAGATAATACATAAATTATTACAAATTAATTCAGAACTTTATTAAAAATTCAGTAGATAGTGAAACAATGCAAAAATATGACAACATAAATGATAAGGAATATATTTAAAAATAACACATTAAAAAACTTAACAATTTCAAACTAAGAACAATAGCAAAAGCGAAAAATTCATTTTAAATTATTTGTTCAAAATGTCCGCCATTTTCTTCAATGCATTTTGTATATCTTTTCAAGAATTTCTTTTTAACTGCGAAGAATGAATAGTCTTGTCAAATAACTTTAGGCGCGATTACTATTTTTTGCCACAATTCATTTCTGGTATTAACAGTAAGGTCAGAATAAATTAGAGTCTTAATATAAGCCCAGAAATAAAAATCCAGAGGGTCAAATCTGGACTATATGCATGCCATGGATGTTCACTCACTCGTCCAATCCATCGATGGGGGAATACGTTATTTAAATGATTTCGTACTCCTATGGAATAATGGGCAGGGGCGCCATCTTGTAAATACCACATACCAACTAATATTTAAAGGAACATCATCTAGCAGATCAAATAAGTTGTACTCAAGGAAATGTAAGTAGCCATTTCCAGTCATTTTTGCTGGAAGTTCAAAAGGTCCTATAAGGTTATCTTCGACTATACAAAAAAAAATTTAAAATTTAAATTCATGCAGAAAGTGCCGCACTCTCGTACTGTTTGTATTTTCTACAGTCCATGTGTGAGAATTTTTGTAGTTGAAAATTTCTCTTCTCGTAAATGTTGCCTCATCAATGAATAGAATTTTATTTGTAAAAAATGGATCTTGTCTATTTTTATTTAAGAGAAACTGACTAAAATTTATTCTCGCTAAAAGATCATCCGGCGGCAGATTTTGGACTGGAGTCAAATGGTACGGGTATAATTGTTGTTCATGTAAAATGTTGACGCAGTACCCTGAGATAAACTAAAATTGGAAGATATACGACGGATACTTGTTGCTGAGTTATCTGCAACAAAATTTAATACATCTTCCTCCTGCTGAAAATCTCGAACCATAGGTCATCCATTGACTCTTTTTGGGCTAAAACTTCATGGTAAAACATGGTATGAGGTTTCTTCCTTTTCCATGCAGAGTATACACGAAGTGGGATAATTGTGTAGCCCCATCACATGAAGGTGTTTCAGCAAGCAGTGCCCCGTAAGTAATCCCACAATGGTGGTTTTAATCCCCATGTTTTTCCAAATGCCCGTCTTCCTACAATGAGAGACATTTTACATTTGTTGGTCACTTTTTGTAAGTGTTGGTTCAAAGTAAGTTTGCTATCTAGGATTAGACCCAGATATTTTACTTAGTTCGTTTTGTTTAGCCTTCCTCCGAACAGAGTCGGAGTTTCTAAAACCTCCAACCTTGTTTTCCGAGTAAAGGTTATGAGTTGTGCCTTGTCAGGGTTTACCACGAGGTTTTGCCTAATGCACCACATTTCTGTCAGCCTAAGAGCTCTTTGCATAAGTTCAAAGACTGTGGTTTGATGTTTCCCTCGGATAAGAATGACTATGTCATAGGCATATCCTTGGGCGTACAGCCCTTGATTGTTTAGTGTTTTTAGCAGTTCATCTGCCATTAGGTTCCACAGTAGAGGAGAAAGGACTCCACCCTGTGGGCATCCCCTGTGGATATTCACCTGCATGGTTTCACTGAACATTTGTACCTGTACTTGTCGTCCGCGTAACATGTCTTCTATCCACCAGCAGATGGTGTCTTCTATTCCATGTTTGCGAGCGGCAGCTACCAGCTTAAAACATATTTGAATTTTCGTAAAAATATTAAAAAAAATATTTTCTCACCCTGTAATTTCTTAAGCAAGCAAAATTCTACTAAGGTAAATTGGGTTAAATGAACTTACTTTATCTAAACTAATCACATCTGAAGTTTGGCCCATTCTTTAATATATTTGTAATCAGGAAATGCAAAGACAAAAATGTATAGGGTGTCCCAATAAAAAAATGAAATTGTTGGAGGCGCCCTGTATATACAATTCTGCCAGTTATTACATTTTTAGTCGGTACAGGTAAAACAACAAAGCTTTTACTTAAAACTTTTTTTTGTGTTTGCAAAAATAATGAAAATAAGTAGCGGTCAAAATATAATGAAAAACCCTGTACATCGTATGAAAAATAGAGCTTGTGATTATTTATTTAATCACGTCAAAATTTACTTAGATCAACCAGATTGATAAATATTATAGACGTGCTCTAATTGATCTGAACTTCAAAATGTATTTGTATGTAATTCATTTGTTGATCTTTTTTCAAAAAGTAAACGGAATAAATAGTATAGCATGGTTTTCAAACCTTAACCAACATTTACTGTTTCGTACCTTCTGCTATACAGCAGCAGTAAATTGTCGCTTAAAAAGTTTAATTACTAATTACTCCTTTTCAAATAAATTTATGTTACTCCAGGGATTTTAATTACGAAGGTAGAGTTGCGTTTTGGGCTAATGCATTTGGGTGATATGAAGTAAGGCATTAAACAAATGAACACTCCTTGCCAACGAACTTTATACGCTTCGCGCTGAGCTAAATAATCTGAATATGTTCTTAATGAAACGAATAACTAGATTTAGCTAAATTGCTTTTTCCTATATGGACCAAACTGTTTCGTTTTTTAATAAAATGCAAAGCATATTACAAATACAAGAATTGCATCCGCATTCACAAAGCATTTTTAAATAGTGCA